GGAAACTGGAAGAAAGGTAATCCTTGGGATAAAGTGGCACGGAACTCGGCTGGACTGTGTTCTAGCGTTTCCTAGGAAGGTAGAACTTGGAAGCAATGAGGTTGAGATTCAGCTGCAAAGATTTCAGGGCAAAGTGTTGGAGGAACAGCTTGATTCCTCCTGACGTCTTACAGTAAAACGCAAAAGGAGAGGGAAGGCGTGAACGACGGATAAAGGGTGCAGGATTCTCAGCCTGTCCATATTGCAGAAAAATGAGAACGCTTGGCCGGAAGAGAACGGTAAAGGTGTGGCTGAACAACCATTAGTTGAAGAGATCGTGGGCGAGGCTCAGTTTAACCAGTCATCTCTGCAGAAGCCAGGAATGCAGATGACGGCATGATATGTGTAAAGACATTGCCCGTTTGAACCACAAAGGGGTGAGAGACAATCGGACGGAATGAAGGAAGGGCTGTGATATTTCTTGGGTTCCACAGGGTCTGACCGTACAGCTACCCAGCTGTTAGAGTGTGCTGTTCTTCAAGGGAAGCAAAGAAGGACCCTGGAGGTGATTCAGGGGTCCACACACTGTCACTCTCACCACTGGTCCAGGAGGCAAATCTGTTTCCCCATTGGTTTCATAGGGCGGGGCCGTGTCTTTGGTTTCTGCCAGAATGACTCCACTCAGGGCCTCAGGAATGAGACCACCCCTGTAGAGAGCTGAGTGGATGGGGCTGTGCCCTACCGCCCAGAGCCTTGGGGATGATGCTACTACCCCAGTGGGCCTGTTAGGCAGAACACTGGACCAAAGAAGATTATTCTTGAGCCTTAAAATCTAATGGCATCTGTCTTGCTAAGTTTTGGATTTACTTGGGATCCATCAGTCATCCCTTTCTTCCTTCTGAATTCTTTTTTTGTTTGTTTAAAAAAAAATTTTAATGTTTATTTTTGAGAGAGAGAGAGACAGCGTGAGCGGGAAAGGGGCAGAGAGAGGAAGTGAATTCCCCTTTCTGGAATGGCAATGTCTATCTTATGCCTGTCCCACCATTGTATGGAAAGACATACTTTGTTGAGTTCCATAGCTTCACAGCTGGAGGGGAATTTGCCCCAGGGTGACCCATACCTGATTTCGATATTTAGATGAGACTTTGGGCTTTAAGGTTTTACAGCGGATGCTGGAATGCGTTAAGACTTTGGGGGTGTTGGGATGGAATGGATATATTTTGCTTAAGAGAAGGATGTGAATTTTGGGGGGCCAGGGGTGATACGATGGGCTGAATTGTGTCCCACCCCCAGTAAATATGTTTAAGTCCTAATCCCCAATGTGACTGTATTTGGAGAAAGGGCCTTTTAGGTGGTTATGAAGGGTAAATGAAGTCATAAGAGTGGAGCCCTAATCCCAGAGGAGTGTTGCTGTATAAGAAGAGGACAGAGAGAGAAGGTTATCTGCAGGCAAGGGGAGAGCTCTCACCAGGAACTGAATCGGTCAGCACCATGATCTTGGACTTCCAGCCCCCAGAACGTAAGATGTAACCCCGTGTTGTCTAAGCCTCCTGTCTCTTTGTCATGGCAGCCCGTGTTGAGTATGTCTGATGACAGCTGCTGTCCTGTCTTGTTCCGAACATTCCCCCAATATTCTGGAAGCATTCCCAAGTCGGCAGCCTGTCCTGTCAATCAAAGTGGCAGCAGGTGTGACCCCAGCCCAATCCCCAGACACCAGAACCCTCCCCGACCCCCGACCCCCTTGAGGCCATCCTGGAGTGTTTTCGTAACAAAAACCCCATAGATTTGCCTCTTTTTCATTTGTTTTATTAGCATCAATATATACAAAGTGGAAAATGACTTGACTTCATTATTCTAGCTTAGAAAGTTTGTTTTGCTTTTTCTTCTGTTTGGGGATAAAATGAAAATGAAAACGTCCCAGGTGAAAGCCTACCATTGAGGGTGCTGGACAACATTCCGTAATCTCTGACCTCGAATGGCCCCCCTGCCCCCCATGACGACTCAAGGGCATAGGAAAGTCATACCCTTTGGATTTACTCCAAAGAAAGGTCATTTTTTGCCCGAGGCTCACATTCAGCCTAAATCTACCCATACATTTACCAAGTCACTTCTGCTTATACAACGGTCCTGATGATGCGGCCACTTGCTTCCTGCTGGGCAGTTTGGCAGTTGCCAAAGCTATCAGCCTGAGGCTCCGTAGGCTTTCCAAGGAGCTGGCTGCAAAAGATCTTATTTAAAGCACGTCTGTGGAACCAAGTAAGGACGGCCCTCACGCAGCAACCAGAGTACTTCCGTTGGCTCAATAATTCTACTCCTCCCCATCCCCCCCCCCCCGAAAAAGCAAAAAGATGAGCTCCAAGGCAAAGAGGATCGAGTGTGTGTGTTTGTAAAGCACAGGGCGGTAGCTGACAGATACAGCTTATATGAATTAGCATGTAATACCCACCATCACATGCATTCTTTGAACCTTGAAATCTCTGTAAACCATTTCCCCACTGTTTTGAAAACAAAGAGGGGCTTGTAGGAAAGGTCCTGTGGGTTGGTTCTCGAGTTGCTCAAGATTGTATCCCGTTGAAAAATATTGAATCCCGATGGGTTTTAACATCGACCTTATAAAAACAGACGTGTATGAGCCTAAATGAGACGCATGGTACATTTTTGGCACTATTTTTATGTTTTTGCCTTTACAAACACACATTCAGATATTCTAAAAAGAAAAACAGACACCAACCTGCCTTTTCAGTCACACTGTACATTGCCAAGCTCACACGATCCATCTTTAGATGAAAATAAATGTTTAAAACATGGTTCTATGTGCTGTACCACTAAGACAGAACTAAGACATCGGTATCCTGAAAAAAAACAACAAAAAACCAACACCTTTCTATCCCTCAACAGCCGAGAAGGATTTCATATTTTGTCAGTCTTGATGAAAGGCGAATGTTTAGTTTCCATGTAACCATAGTATGCTCTAAAATTAAATATCATTAATCGAGTTCTTCCTTCCAGAGGACCCAGAGTTAGGGTTAGAATAAGCATCAAACAGAAACAAAAGCAGAAGATTGGAGTCTGCCCTTTAAAAAAAAAAAAAAAAAAAAAAAAAAAGGTCGCCTTGTTTGCATTGTTGGGCCATCTCCAAACATGACGGTTGCCTACTGATGATCGGGAATGACTCTCCTCTGGGTTTTTGTTTTGCATAAAGTGGGGTGGGTTTTGGGTGGCTGGAAGGCAGCCTTTAATGATCTCTTGCTGTGCATCAGGATGCATGCCTTAAGGAGCATATAAGCAGGATTCTTTTCTGGCAGAAGGAGAAAGTATTGGGCCTCTGATTCCCCCAAGATGGAACCCCAGGTGTCTCGCCGGGAGAAGGCTATGTCAAAGTCAACTGCCCTAGCCTGGTCCAGAGCTGTCTAGACAAGCTAACCAAAATACGGACTCCAGCCATTCTCTCAATGGCATGGCAGCCGAGAGCTCTCTTCTTGTTTGAAAACCAGCTGACATAAAACGATTCTGGAGAGTGTGGGAGGGTGCCAACGTGGGCTCCGAAAGCACGGGGGCTGTCTTTCTCTGAGCCACCGGCCGTCACTAGGGAGGAGACGGTCCAGGGAGGCAAATCTACCTTGCCTGTACTATTCCTTCCACGTAGCCTCACCCCTTGCCTTTTCTTTATTCCGTATTTGGAGAAGAAGCCTCCTGAGAGCCACACGCTCACCAGTCCCACTGGATTGGAGCAAAAGGACACAGATAAAATCTGAGGATGTGCAGGTGATTAATGAGGCGTTCGGGTTTCCCTTCCCGCCTGAAACTCCTCCTTCTGTCCTCCGTGGGGATCGAATTGTATGACCAGGATCCCGTTGTGGGTTTAAATCCCCTGTCCTGTTTTCCTGCCCCTCCACGGTCAGCATTCACGCCATGGTCCAACATCTGGGCAGAGCCTCGGAGAACAGAAAAGCAGTTTCTTCTCATAGGACCCTCTCTTCTGAAATCCTTGATTGCAGGTGTTTCTTCTGACACTTTTTAGAGAAACAGGGCACGCGAGTCTCCCTTATTTTGCAGGCTCTGGCATTGCAGTATTCCAGGAAAACAGACAGAGCTCCTCCCTGGATTTCGGGACGTGGTCCCTCCCCCTGCAGCACAAACCCTTGTAACCATGTGGGTGAAGCTCCCCGTGCCTCCAAAGCACGCAGATCTACCGTCCCAGCTTGAGGGTGGCCTTTGCAGAACAAGGTGATGGACTCTGGCACTTGCAGCATAAATAACCATCCCTTTTGCCACTGAAGGAGTCGTCACAGGAAAGAACATTGTGTCAACTGGGTCCCCTCACTCAACGTTCCCCGTCACCCCCACGCTTCACCAGCTTTTTCAGGTCTCTCATTTACTCTGAAACATTTTCTGATTCTGCCAGCCCCTGGCGAAGCCAGGGTGGCAAGCGAGAATGGTCACGTTAACCCCTCTGCCGTCTTCAGGAGGACCGGGGGAGGGGGAGGGGAGAAGAGAGTATCAGAAGAGTGACCCCAGGGTTTGTTTGGGAGCAGACCTGTTCAAGCTCGAGTCCGACCCGAGTTAATCCACCAAGACGCACCCTTTCCAACCTAATCTTGGGCTTGGATTTGTCCTAAAAGCACCGTGGGCGTAGACCCCAAAGATGCGTGAGGTTGATGTGATGCTGCCATTGCCTGGCGTTGCTGATGGAGAAACCCAGCGTCTGCTTGTGTCTTTTTTCCCCTCTGCCACCACGTTGGTCATTTTGCTGGTCCTCTGTCTGCCCTCAGAGTCGAGGCTGTCTCATGAATCTGGCTGCAGTTCCAACACCTCCAACCATCCCTATTTCAATTTTAAATATAATAAATACAGCGAAGAAAAAAAAAAAAACCAGGAAATCTTCCATAAAGACTCTAAAGAAAAGACGGACAAAACATTCTGGGGGTTTCAATCAAATGCCGCGTGGTCTCTGGATGAATCTCTCGAGGAGGTGTAGTTGAGTTCCTATCTGTGAGTTCCCTTCTCACGCGTAGCTCTCCTTAAATGGACACCTCATACTCCCTGGTTTCCTGCAAGAGACAGAAGCAACAGATCGAGTAAACCCTTGTGTGATAGAGCCGCGGTCAGAGCGTGCCTCGATAGCCTTTCGACCCAGCAAGGAGGTGAGTAATGTGGGTAGCAAAGTTAAGCCACCCCGGCCAACAACCTGCCGGTCCCGGATGTGACAGTGAGCACGGCTGAACCAGGACTATCACTCAGCCACAGCGAGCTCAAAGCACCATCCTGCAGACTGGTGAGCAAATTGGCATTTGTTGCTTTGAGTGACTGAGTTTTGGGATTATTTGTTACTCAGCATTATTATAGTGCTGGGTGACTGATACACTACACTAATAAGCATTAATAAGATCTAGTTTCTAAAATGCTAATTTTTAAAAATCAGCCTGACCTTCTTTTAGGATTTGGAAACAGAGTACATGGAATGTGAAATAACATATGACCTCTTCTTACTGGCGCCATATCTAAAATGTCTAAAACATGTGGATGGCAACCAATTCAATTTCTCCAATATTCATGGAGCGTGTGTAATATATTCCAGGCCTCCAAGACAGAGGAACAGGGAGATATAGGAGGTCATAGACATGGCCCCAGAAGAGGTCATTGTCCCGTGCTTTAACGGAGGTCTATGGTTCCTGCTGGGTCGACACAGATAAGCAATCATGTCTGTGCTTCATGGTAGATGGGAGTGGGGTGGGAAGACACTAAGGTGGCTCCCATGCTCCCCACCTCTTGGAGGTCACATTCTTGCATGATGCCCTTTCCTTAAGTGTGGGCAGGACCTGTGATTGGCTTCCCATGAACAGAACACAGCAAAGGTGCTAGCATGTCTTAGCCAGGTCTCATAGCACCTCGACCAATTTTTTTCATGGTCGCTAAAAATGATGATTTGTTGTAATCAAGAGATCCACTGGCGTATTTGATTGTTTGAGGTTCAACGGGAAGCGAGATAATATAATGGTTAACGGCATCACTTTGAATTTGTTTCCTGGCTCTAGGCTGTGCTTGTCGTTTTCTCGTCTCTCTGACCTCTCAGTATCCTCATCAGTCACTCAGAGATAACTGCAGAATATATTACAAAGAGTTTCAGGGATTGTGTATTTAAGGTGCCTGGCTCCTGGTACCTATTATTATTATTATTATTATTGATCTTACTGTTGATCTCTGTCTCCTTTGCAAGACCATAAGCTCATTAATGGCTGGACTGTGTCTATTTGGTTCACGACTGTGTCCCTAGTACCCCACACAAATGTCTGCCACCCAAACGGGTTGGAACGTTGCACATTGTCATTCAATACGGAGTGGAGTTCAGCCAGATGTGGGGTGCGGCCCATTGCCTCTGGCGGGTTCTGACCCATCTCAGCTGTGTCTCCACGGGTCTTTCTTTGGTGCAGCCAAAAGCCTGTGATTTCTTTCTGTGACTGTTACTGCCCAGAGCAAGCCTTCCAGGCTTGTCATCGGCACGCAAAGAGAGCTGGGTTCTCCCAGCGGTTATCCCCATAGTGGTCACGGTGGGGCTGGGGCAGGACCACCGGCCATGCCTTTCTGGCAGTAGCATCGTGAGCCAAAGGAAATGAAACCTTCCGTTTTGATGTCAGTGCATTCGGAGCAGACAAGGAGGGAGGCACTGGCGTGGGGGGTGGAGAAGACAGACCAACTTACCCCTGTCTCATAAATGGGGTTGTCAAACTCAGTTTCCACGGTGATCTGGCTGTAGGGGTGGGAGTACATCAGGGGCAGGCGGAGGCTGGAGTAATAGCGGCATCTGGAGAAGAGACAATGGAAGAGAGAGAAATTACTTGTCCTGGAGCAGACAGGATTGTCCAGTCCAAATTGTTCTCAACTTCAACCCAGTCACTGATAACTAAAGCCTTAGTACCTCCCCTTACTGGGGAGGGGTAAAGCTCAACTGGTTTTTACCCGTAAGGTGGTTCAAGCGCCTGTTTAATGCAGAGAGAAAAAAGTAATAATGAGCATTTTTTGAGCACCTACTATGTACTGTGTTACCTCAGAGCACCCTTCTCTGACTACCTATTTAAAAGGTGGTTCTTTGGGGCACCTGAGTGGCTCAGTCGGTTAAGTGTCCCACTCTAGGTTTCGGCTCAGGCCATGAGCTCGTGGTGTGTGAGATCGAGCCCCGCATTGGGACACGTGCTGACAGAGTGGAACTTGCTTGGGATTCTCTCTCTCCCTCTCTCTGCCCCTCCCTTGCACCTCTCCCCACTGTCAAAATAAATAAACTGAAAAAAAGGTGGTCCTTCCATTACCACACCTTATCTCTTTCCTTCATTGTGTTCCTCACGGTGTGTTATAATTTGTGTGTTTCTCTTCTCCCCCTACTACACTGTGGGCTCCACAAGGGCAGAAAAAATTTATATTGGGCAGAGGCCTGCCTCAGGGCCTTTGCACATACTGTTTATCTGCCTGGAATCCTCCTCTTCCAGATATTTGCACAGGCGACTCATTATTGCTTTCAAGTCCTTCCTCGAATGTTATTTCTCAGTGGGGACTCTTCTTTTAAAGTTCAACCACCTCCTCTAGCCCAGGTCCCTTTTGCTCCCTTCTCAGCTTTCTTTTCTCCCTGCATTTATCACCTCCTAATGTACACAGTCGGCTTTTGAACAACACAGGTTTGAACTGTGCAGGTCCACTTATATGTGGATTTTTCTTTTTGGATAAATACAGTATGCTACCTTTAAGTATTTTCTCTTATGATTTCCTTAATAACACTTTCTTTTCTCTAGCTGACTCTATTGTAAGCATACAGTATATAATACATATAACATACAAAATATGTGTTACTTGACTGTTTATGTTATCTGTAAGGTTTCTGGTCAACGGCAGTTTAGCATTCAGGGAGTCAAAAGTTATGTGCAAATTTTTGATCACTGGGTGTCGGCGCCCCTAACCCTCATTTGTTTCAAGAGTCACCTGTATTTACTTCTCTTTTATGCTTTGCTTGTCTGTCTCTCTCCCATTAGAACCTGGACCCCACATATCAAAGATCTCCTTCTGTTTTGTTCACAAGGATATTCCTAGAATCCCCCCACCCCCCAAAACTGCCTGGCACACAGTAGGTGCCCAATAATTGTGAATTTGAATGACTGAGTGAATATCCTGGCGATGGCTGAGTATCTTCCTTCCTCACTGCAGGCAAGATCCATGACCCCAACACCCGGGACAACGTCTGGCGCGTGTTGGATTTGTCACGTGTGTCGAAAAAGCGAATGAATGAATGAGTCAATGATGGGGTAGATGTCAGTGTGCCTGGCATTGTGAAAGATGTGTCTCTCTCATTAAACCACAGCTCCCTGTGGGGCGCCTGGGTGGCGCAGTCGGTTAAGCGTCCGACTTCAGCCAGGTCACGATCTCGCGGCCCGTGGGTTCGAGCCCCGCATCAGGCTCTGGGCTGATGGCTCAGAGCTGGAGCCTGTTTCTGATTCTGTGTCTCCCTCTCTCTCTGCCCCTCCCCCGTTCATGCTCTGTCTCTCTCTGTCCCAAAAATAAATAAACGTTGAAAAAAAAAAAAAACAAAACCACAGCTCCCTGAGGTCAGGGATCATGCCTCCTGCCGTGGGGGGTGGGGCTGGGAGGTGCGCAATAGAAGTGTCTCCCCCGGAGCTGAGTTGAATCACGTCATCTACAAGCACACAAGTACCCCTGCCCCCAAGCTACAGGTGGTGACGCAGCCCCCCAGTGCTCTGGTCATTGAGTGGACCGCAGCCCCCCACCCCCTGCCCCGAAGCCCCCTACCTGGTGATGTAAATGTAGGCTCCTCCCAGCAGTAAGGAGATGATGAGAACAGGGATGAAGATTGCCAGCGCCATGTTTCCCCCTTCCAGCGATGTCTCTGCTGCCGCTTCTGCCACTAAACACACAAGCCGGTGAAGCCCTCGTGTCTCACGCCCTCGGCCCATGTGGGTACCCGGCTCCCAGGGGAGCACCTGCCCTCCCAGGGCATCGCAGAGCCTTGGCCACTGGAGAACCATCCCCAGAGGGGAGAAGAGGCGGACGCTAGAGGGAATGGGGCTGGTTCTTTGCAATGGAGCCCACGGGGCTACGGAGAATTACACTCTTTCAAACCTCGGTCATACCATGCCCATTTTGGGGGGGTGGGTGGCTGGGTGCAGTTGAAATCCGGCTAAAATCCCATTCAAGGAGAGACTTGGAGAACATCTCATGTGTGCTAACTGAGAAGGCAGATTTGCTCACATCCCATGGAAAACGGGGTGCTTGCTGCACCCAGACTGACAGGTGTCCCCCAGACCCTCCAGGAGAGGGAGCTGGGCAGCCGGGTCCATTCTCAGTACTGCACCTTGCGATGACACCCCAACTGGGGACACCCAGTTTTGACTCCCAGAGGCCGTGGCCGCACCCTCTCTGCCTTTCCGGGAGCCTCTCACCACCTCCCACTGGGTTGTGGAAACTGTTGTAGCTGATGTAGGGGCCCAGGGGCATTTTCCCAGGATAGCTTGATGGGAGACCCTACGTCTCTTCTAGATGCTCGTGCTCCGGGTTCTGTCTGCCATTTCTCCACGGCCACGGCCAATAGAGCTCAGCTGTGCACACCAATCTATAATCCATTAACTGCCACTCTCCGGAGTCTGAAAAATCGATCCTAACACCCATGACAACTGCATGAGCCCAAAACATTACGATGGCACTCATAATGTCTGAGCCACCCAGGCCTTTGAGACATTCCCATGGTTCATCGGTTGCTGAAAGGCAGCAAAGAGATGGCCTGAGAAGACAGTAACACCACAAAGTGCCCTCTCTTTTCCCTGCGGAGTGGCTAATACATGCTCCTCTTCTGCACTTACACCTGAGCCCCGGCCCTGCCTGTTTGGATTACAATGTCATCTGTTGCAAGGGAGAGCAGCTAATGACACGTAATTCACACAGCCCCACGTTCTGAGTGAATTACTTATTGCCAGAAAGCTAAGTGGCTCCAAAAATAATAATAAAGACTGCTTAACTGGTTACAACTTAAAACATGAATATATATATATGGTTTTTTTCTGACACCACGTCCCTGGTGAGTGGCTTTGTACCAAAGTGAATGGAAATGATGAAGCATGCAGAATGTTTTACGTATGGGAGGGGTTGCAAGGGAAGGAAACATAGAATAAAAGTCAAAACAAAATCCTGGCTACCTTTTACCGTCCGTTCCCCGTGAATAAATCTCACTTGGGAATTTCTAACAGGAGGAGAATCTAAAACCAGGAGGACACAGGGACACGTAATTTGGGGAAGACAAAGACCAAAGGGAACACAGACCACAGGGCATCTGCCAGGCAGACCTTTCCCTCCCAAAGCCAGGGGGGTTCTCAGCATGGGAGGTGGGGCATCACTGGATTTAACTCCCCCAAGCAGCACCACGTGGGTGAAAAGTTGTACAACAGGGTTGTGCCTTTCTCAGGACCCTCTGATATTCTGACCCCGTGTTCATAACTGGTAGTAAATCCCTTTCAGGTCATAGTTAGGACCCTCGGTGGCAAATCTGATGGCCTGGTTCTTTTACAATATGTTTTATTTTGAAATTATTTTCAGCAGTGTGAAGATGGGATTTCTGCTTGTTTTTTTTTTTTTTTTTTTTTTTTTTAAGCACTTGGAGAAGAATATGCAAGGACCTGCCCTTGTTTTCTGCTATTAGCTTGATTTATTGGATTTTTTTTTTTTCATTATGGAACTCACCTTCTAATGCGTGTTCAAAGCTGTCTTGATTAACTGAAAGGGAAATTGGAAGCATTGGTTAATGTCAAGTGAATTCACTCTGCGTGGAGTGACGGCAAAACATTAGGGGCAAAAGCCCACACCATGCTTTGCTGAAGTTAGTACTAGGCTTCGCTTTATCTTGGGCTGCTGGAATTAGCGGAAATGCCTGGACACATTCCCTTCCTAGGGTCCTGAGAGATCGTGAGATAGATACGAAAGAGACAAGGATGACAGTGGTAATAGAGAACAATTACTGAACACTCACTGCATGTCAGACATTGTGCTAAGAGCTTTATACAGGTATGTGCTCATTTAACCCTTACAACAATCTCGTTAGGCAGATGCCATCATCATCCCCATTTTGCAGATGAACAAACCGAGGCTCAGAGAAGTAAAGCAACTTTTCTGACCTCACACAGCTTCTGTGCGGATGGAGGCAGGCCTTACGCTCAAGACCGCTCGACCTTCCCCACCCTCTGCTTTTAATCACATAGTTCTGCTCTTTTATTGTTCCTTATGTAAGACAGATTGACCAACGGTGAGGCTCGAGACAGAGCCCCAAATCCAGAATCCAGTCAGAGGCGAAACTGTTTTCCTGCTTTGAAATACATGTTTATACGAACCTTTCTGGTTTCCCTTCTATTCCATATTTATTTGGCTATTATTTATATTCTCTGTAAAGCGATTTTCATGCACTGTCACAGACTAGAACTCTCTGGAATTCATTCATTTCCCTGTATTCCTTATACAAGTTCTCTGGAAGTTCAAGGCGATAAGTTCCCAGGTTTTGGCCCCAAAGACATCATGGTAGCCGAGCACAGAAATATACCCACACGGATGTGTTTCAAAGATGCAAAACCCCAGGGCGAAGGGCTTAGATAAAAAGATTGCATTATAAAGGAGTGACAGGGGATGGTCACCAGAGGCCCAGCTGTACTCATGTCCTAATACTCAGACTTCCTAATCTGTGCCTTGGTCAAAGTCACTCTTTGACTTTAGTCATTACCATGTGATGCCAACTGAATCAGCCAGCTTACTAACTAACTAACTGCAGGTGTCTCTGGAATTAGGGCAACAGGAAAATGGAGGGATGGGGACAGATGCTTCCTGCCCAAGATACGAGCTGGACATTGGGTGCGTGTGTGGGAGCGCAGGGACTCCTACTGAACCTCGGAGCCAGAAGGAAGCCTTGAACTTGTGTCCCTTGGAGTGTGGTCAGTGGCTGCTGGGCCACATGCTAAAATGCAGCCTCCTGGGCCCTGCCTTTTCCTTTTATTTCACACGAAGAGGAACCAAGGTCGGAGAGGGAGGGTGGCTGGCTCAAGGGCATGCAGCTGGTCCACAGCAGAGTCAGGCAGAAGCCCCGCCCCTGAGTCCCAGTCGGGTGGCTTTACATTAGCCCTCAGTCACCTCGCTAACTCCAGATCACAAAATGTCCGTGCAGCCCACAGTTTTTGGAAGGGGAAGTGACTTCTCATTGCCTTACAGAGTCATGGGGTCTCAGGGGTAGAAATGGAGGGGAGAGAAAGATGTAAGGATCCCCCAAGATCCTTTCCTGCCAGAAACTCTGCTGTGCCTGAGAAAGAAAGTGGGGGTCAGGGGGTCACTCACCTGCTGGGGCTTCAAGGGCTCACCTATCTTAGAACATAGAGGGTTCAGGGATTGAGCAACTTTCATCTTTTCTTATGTTTTTGATCACGTGTGTATTTTCGGATGGCAGTTTCATTTTCCCTTAAGATTGGCAACATCAAAAAAAAAAAAAATGATAGCATCCAATGCTGGCAAGGACGTGCGGAAAGGGACATTATCACCCATTATTTGAGGGGGAGCATGAATCACTATGGTTATGGAAAAGGATCTGGCAAAATCCCCAAAAACTCAGCATCCACGGATCTTTGCCCACACCACTGATCCCAATTTGAGGAATGTGTCCTATTTGACGAGAAAAGTCAGCACCCGAAGATTCATGGGCAAGGGTGTTTCTGGGCAACACGAGACCAAACAAACAAGAAACCGGAAAAGAACCGGGAGATCCATCCACAGAGGAAGGACTGGACGCATCATGATACATCCCAGCGTGGAATGATGGGCGGCAACGAAAAAGATAGGGCAGAAGCCACATTTTTCCTTTTTTTCCAACTTGACGGAGATGTGGGATAAGGGGGGAAAAGCAAAACACAAGGTAAGTATGGTTCGAAGTGTTTTTACTTGGAAACCAACATCCCCTGCCCCACCCCCTTCCCCGTGCAGTGTATCTATTTGTGTGAGTCCAGAGAACTGGGAGGCGGGACACTCAGGGGTGATAAGTACTGGCTTCCGGGGAGGAAAGGAAGGACTGGGGAACAGAAGAGGAGAGCTGCTAACGCTTCCCTTGCGGCTCTGATTTCTTCCACCTCTTGCACGAGATACTTTTGTAGCTAATCCAAAAAGAATATAAACAGTCCTGGGGCAGATCAAAAATGGCCTTCCTATCCTTAAACTTAGATTTCTTATAAAAAAAACCTATTAATTTTCCTCCACGCAGAACACTTACTAGCAACACCAGATTAATTTCTATTAACGTCCATGTAGCACTTGGAAGGTTTACAGGAAATCTTTACCGGGGGGAAAACATCCCCGTGTTTTAACTCTACAAAGCTGATTTCCTGTGCTAGCGAAAATAAATTCACACACAGGGCTGGATTTAGTCAAGACTAGGGCAGGAATTTGGGAGGAGGAAGGCAGTTTAAGGAATTTAAGAGGAAGATAGTCATCTTTTTTTTTTTTTTTAAGTTTATTTATTTTGAGACAGAGACAGAGACAGAGACAGCGCAAGTAGGGGAGGGGTAGAGAGAATCCCAAGCAGGCTCTGCACTGTCAGCACAGAGCCCAGCGCAGGGCTTGAACTTGCGAAGCTGTGAGATCGGGACCTGAGCCGAAACAAAGAGACTAGACGCTTAACCGACTGAGCCACCCAAGCACCCCAGGAAGATAGTTTTCATAAATCCGGTTGCTGATTCCTTATTTCTCTTTGCATTTCAACACGATCTCTTGCCCTCTTATTAAGAACTGCTTGTATAAAGACTTTGCTCTTGCGGGATAAACCCCTGCTCGACTCCAGGTGAGAACATCCTGCTCTAGGCCCGTGTTTCCCACATTTGCCAGATGCTAAGACTCACCACGGATGCTGGTTACCCTGGCTCCCTGGGTCCTGCTCTAGACCCAGTGGAATTAGCATCTCCCCTGCAGGGACCCAGAAATCTGTTTATACTTGCACTCTGTGTTTGGAAATCACTGCCTTAAATGGTTCTCAAATTCGAAGTGTATTTGAGCAACCCAGAGCTTGTTAAAATGCTTATTTTAGGGTCCTATCCCTCTGATTCTAATTTTGTAGATCTGGGGTAGATTCCAGAATTTATTTCTTGTTTTTTAATGTTTATTTATTGAGAGAGAGAGAGAGAGAGAGAGAGAGAAATGCAGAGAGAGAGAGAGGGAGACACAGAATCCCAAGCAGGCTCCAGGCTCCGAGCTGTCAGCACAGAGCCCGACGCAAGGCTTGAACTCACAGACTGTGAGATCATGACCTGAGCCGAAGTCGGACGCTTAACCGACTGAGCCACCCAGGCGCTCCAGAATGTGTTCCTAATAAACAGTCTGGGTGATTCTCATGCTGAAGTCACTGGCTGGTTGGAGGCTATCAGTCTAACAGCTGTGAAGCCCACCCTGACCCAGCCCGCTGGAGAAGAGGCAGGATATTGACAATCAGGAGATGTGGGTTCAAGTCCCAGATTTGTCTCGTAACAGCCGTGTGGCTTTGAGACAGTCACTTAACTTCTCTGAGCCTCTCTTTTTTGTAAAATGGGCACAGTCCTTCATTTATCTTAGAGAGTGGTCCTAAGGCTTTAAATGAGGTAATTCAGGGAAAAAAACCATTTAAAAAATTTGAGGTAAATTTCACATAACATAAAATTAACCATTGTAAAGTGTGCAGTTTTGTGGCATTTAGCACACTCGCAATGTTGGGTAGCCGCCGCCTCTATCTCTTTCCAGAACATTCTCATCACCCCTAAAAGGAAACTTTGTACCAACGAAGCAGTTACTCCTTTCTCTCCACCCAGCCCCCGACAGCCACCAGTCTGCTTCCTGTCTCTTATCAATTTACCGATTTTGGATATTTCATATAAACGTAATCATAGGATATGTGATCTTTTGTGTCTGGCTTCTTTCACTTAGCATAATATTTTCAATGTCCATCCGGGCTATGGATACAGCAGCACTTTGTTCCTTTTCATGGCTGAATAATATTCCACCATATGGATACGCCAC